TATTGAGGTACTCTTAGAAAAAGCTGGAGTTTTTCTTTGTTTCCCACAACCTAGAATTCAGAAATTTGTAAACAGCTCTTAGGAGTGTCACCATTTTTACCAAGCTTTGCTTTTCTCTTTCTTTCTTGCTTGCTTTTTTCTTTCTTTCTTCCTCCCTCCCTCCCTCCCTCCCTCCCTCCCTCCCTCCCTCCCTCCCTCCCTCCCTCCCTCCCTCCTTTCTTTCTTTCTTTCTTTCTTTCTTTCTTTCTTTCTTTCTTTCTTTCTTTCTTTCTTTCTTTCTTTCTTTCTTTCGGCAGTGTTTTCCCGTGTAGCACTAGCTGTCCTGGAACTCTCTGTAGACCAGGAAGGGCGTGGTACAGTAAAACTTCTGTCAGTATGAAACAATAGGCCTTACTATGCCCCAAGAGTGGCCACAATCCCTGGCATACACACGCAGTCTTTCAGGTATGGCTTCTTCCTTTTCAATGCTTATTTATTTGTTTTGGTTTATCCTTTCTCCATCTACCCCACCCCGCTTCTTTCAACAAATGTGAAGCATCATGTTTCAATAACAAGGCTGATCCATGAATATGAAAGCTGCAATTTGCAAGGCACAACATCTAGAACTCAGGATGCCAATCAGAGTGGGTGCAATTCTAATTAAATGATCAGGTAACATTACAACATGCTGGGATGCAGCATCAAAACTGTACATTAAGTTGTTCCCCACACCCGCCAAGACTGGGTTTGTCTATGTAAAAGCCATTGGCTGTCCTGAAATTCACTCTGTAGACCAGGTTGGCCTTGAACTCAGAGATCCCCCTGCCTCTGCCTCCTGAGTGCTGGGATTAAAGGCCTGCACCACCACGGCCCGGCCAGTATCTTTTTTCTTGATCAGAGGCTCCACATTGTCTCCAGTCTCTTCCTTGTGTTTTAGGTGAGCCCCATCAGACCTCCAGCAGAGTCAGTACGTGGCCTTATCTCCAAGATCCTCCATGTTGAAGGCTCGGACCACCTGGGGGTTGTCTTTCTGGAATTGAAGGCTCACCTTAGCTTTGGTGCGAGGATCTTTAACGTAGATCTTTTTGTTTTGTTTTTGTCACTGCTCAGTGTTTATTTTTGGTGTGTGTTTGATTCATTTTTTTTTTTTAATTTTATCACTCTGTAGCCCAGCAAACACAGTTCAAGGATCCCTTAAACTTGGGGTCCTCCTTTCTGTCTCACCTTCCCAGAGCTGGGACTGCAGTCATGTGCTACTGTGCCTAGTACTTTGTGTGTGCATATATATATATTCCTTCTGCTTCTCTATAAATGAATTTGGGTGATATCAGTAGTTGATAGTTTTATAGTAAATACTTTTAACATTATTGAAAAAAATTTCATACTATATTTTTGTTTTCCCATCTCCAAGTTCCTTCCAGATGCTCCCCATCTCCCTATACACTCTACCCACACAACTTTATGTTCTTTCTCTTTAAAAAAACAAAAAAAAATCCCCACAAAAACAAAAATCAAACAAGTGAAAGACCAATAAAACAAACAAAAAATCTCCAAATAAAGCATCTGAGACAAAAAGTCTAGAGAAATACCATTGAGTTCATTTTGTGTTGGCCATCTCCTGCAGAGTGTGAGGTCTGCCCTAATGTCTGGTTAATATACCCAGTAAGATTCCACTGGAGAAAAATGAGTTTTCCTTTGTCAGTGAGTGCAGATAGCTTATCGCTTGGGGTGGGAGCCCGTGCCTACTTCCCCCTCAGTGCTAGGACTCCATCTGGCTTGAACCTGTGTGTAGGCCTTGTGTGTGCTTGCCATAGCCTCTCTGAATTCACAGGTGTATGAGTCCTGTTGTATCTGGAAGACACTGTCTCCTCGGAATCATGCATTACCTCTGGCTTTTATAGTCTTTCCACCTCCTCTTCTGCATAGACCCTGAGCCTTGAGGGGAGGGCTTTGATGAAAATATTCCATTTAAGACTGAGTGCTGCAAAGTCCCTCCCTCCCTCCATATTGTCCAGTTGTTGGTCTCTGTGTTAGTTGCCGTCTATTGCAAGAAGAAGTTTCTCTGATGGGAGCTGAGTGAAGCACTAATCTATGGATATATCAGAATGTCATTAGGAGTCATTCTATCGCTATATTCCTTTAGTAGAATAACAGTATTAGGTTTTCCCCTAGACTGGTGATTTATGTAGTCTCAGGTTCTTGGCCCCTTGTCAGATCTGAGTTCCATCTCATGAAGTCGGGCCTTAAAACTGATCAGAGAGTGACTGGTTACTCCAATAATAGTTGTGTCACTGTTGCACCAATGTATCTTGCAGGCTGGTCACTACAACAGGTTGCAGGATTTGTAGCTGGAAGATAGTGACGAATGTGTAGTTTTTTTGTTTTTTTTTTTTGTTTGTTTTTTTTTTTTGGTTTTTCGAGACAGGGTTTCTCTGTATAGCTTTGCGCCTTTTCTGGGGACTCACTTGGTAGCCCAGGCTGGCCTCGAACTCACAGAGATCCGCCTGGCTCTGCCTCCCGAGTGCTGGGATTAAAGGCGTGCGCCACCACTGCCCGGCAAATGTGTAGTTTTAATAGCCATATACCACATGGTCTAGTGAAACATCTTTCATCCATACCTAAATTCCACTTACTCAATTTCCTCTAAAGTGATTTGCATTTTTACTGAAAATTCCATTCATTAAATGTGCATAGATATTTTTCTATAAATGCAAACTATATATACATATATGTACCCTAGAACTTTTGTTTGGAGACACAGTCTCACTCTATAGACTAGGTTGGCCTAGAACTCAGAGATCCACCTGTCTCTGCCTCCCAAGTACTAGGATTAAAGGCGTACGCCACTTTCACCAAGCCTGTGTTCTAGGGTTCCCCCCTCCCCCGACCCCTGCTTATATTTTGACATCCCTTCCTCATAAGCTTCTATACTGCTGCATATTTGTTTTATTTTGTTTGAGACCATGTCTTAATACATAGCCCTGGATAGCCTTTGAAACTAGGAATGTAGACCAGGCTGGCCTTGAACTCACAGAAATCCTGCCTCCTAAGTACTAGGATTAAAGACATGTGCCACTACAACCAGCTCTGCTTCATGTTTTTTGTTTTTTTTTTTTACAATCTTGGAGGTTGCTCATGCATTCATGTGTGCACATGTGTGCACCATGGAACATGTCCAAGTCAAAGAACAACTTTTAGGAGTCAGTTTTCTCCTTCTACTAGGTAGGTTCTCGGGATCAAATGTTACTCCCACCAATTGAGAGTGAGACCACTATCGCAGTTTAAAGCCAAATTTGAAACAAGCTTTAATTAAATACTAGCCAGGTGGGTGGGCTCTGGCCAGGTCCATCTCTCGGTTTCCAGAAGAGGACCCTGAGTCATGGTTTACAGCAGCTTAAGTTTTTCCCATCAGATCCAATCAGGGGCAAGCATACATCCTCACGTATTCCCTGCCTATGAACCTCCTGCCCACATGTGATCAAGTATATCCGGTGCAAAGGGGTCAAACAAACTTGTTTGGGGTAGTGAAAACATGTGGCTTCATAAACAATAGCCTCCAGCATTTCAGGAACTATCTGTCCTTAGGCAAGGGGCTTGTAGATCAGAGGTATTTTTGTTTCTTGGATCTCTTAGGCATAGTAATTAAAACTTAAAATGTAACTTCGGCTCTCACAGGAACTCATCTCACCAGCCCTACCTCATACTTTTTAAGAATCTACGTAAATCATTCTGTGGCTTATTCCATATTGATGAACTTTGAGCTTTTTTTCTGCTGTGCATTTCTTATTTGAATGCATGCTGCTTGGGAATTAGGATTTTTACCTACTCCATGTTTATTTTAATCTTTAGAATTTAGTATAATGTGCTGGCTAGTTTTATGTCAAACTGACACAGAATAGAGTCATTTGAAAGAAGGGAACCTCAATTGAAAAACATGCTTCCATAAGATCAGGCTGAAGGTAAGCCTGTAAAACATTTTCTTATGGGGGAGGGCCAAGCCCATTGTGGATGGTGTCATCCCTGGGCTGGTGGTCCTGGGTTCTATAAAAAAAAGCAGGATGAGCAAGCCATGAAGAGCAAGCCAATAAGCAGCACCCCTCCATGGCCTCTGCATCAGCTCTTGCCTTTGGGTTCATGCCCAGTCTGAGCTCCCATCCTGACTTCGTTTAAAAAAATATGGAAGTGTGTAGAGGGCACAGGGTCCCTAGGCACTAGGGGTGCCTCACAGATAAATACTAGGAAAACCAGGAATGTTAAACACATCTCAATTAAGGAGACGTGTACCAGTTTTCCACCCAGAAGTCTGGGAACGGATGTAGTTAATAGACTAATGATCTATGCCAAGCCACACCTGAATCCCCCAAACTATTATGCTTATCCCAGATTCTTCCTCCCTAGACCTTTATCTTTATCTTTGTTTCTCATCCCTAGGAGAGATGTCACACATACTTTGTAACTTGGTGACCTCTATGATGACCAAACCACACCAGATCCTCCCCTGGGACCTTAAGCTATAGCACCCATTCTTACTGAAGAGGTCACATGGACTTTGCAAAGTTGTCACACACACACACCCCTTTTTTATTGTGATTGTCACCAGGAAACTTTTTTTCCAGTGTTGTACTGTACTTAAATATGACTAAAATAAACTGCCCATGTCAGATTCAAGTCTGAACCAACACAGGCTAAGTTGTGTTAAACTGGATTTCCTTCTTGCCTCAAATGGATGGTTACTCTGCAGGTCCTGGTGTTTACAGGGACCCCCACAGAAGGGCAAGCAGAATAAACCCTTTCCTCCTCAACTTGAATTTGGTCCTGGTATTTCATCACAGCAATAGAAACCTTAACTAAGACAAATATCTAAAAGATATTCTTGAATGAACTGCAAACTTTGAAGTGTTCCCACATGACAGCTTTTCACTCAACTATAAGCAAACATTAGAAACTTTTTGATGAAGTGATTTCTCTTTTAGACGTTTATCTTAATGTTTAAAATAACACAAATGTAACACGAGAGAAACTAAGTTGTTATGTGTATTTTAAATGTTATTCCAAAACTTTTCACCAAATTTAGATACTGTATGATTGATAAGTTTAGCACAATATTGTACATATAGTAGCATTAGAAACTTTTCAAAGAACTTATATTAAGTGAGGGAAACATGGTTTTATAAATAAGTCTGTGCAGAATGGCCAGCTGCTGGGGGGTACAAGTTAGTCATAGAGGACATTTGGCATGCATGAGGGTTCAATCCCTGACACTGCAGATACACAGAAGGGCAAGGGAGAAACCAAGGTCTCAGAAGACATGGGTTTGAAATTAAGTGACCCATGATCATTATCATTATCAACAGTTACTGAGTGCCTACCACACGCCAGGCCATCAGAAGAACTTTGTTCCCTTTAACCCCCGCCCTTTTTGTTCCTAGTTAATAAAGTTGAAACATAGAAATGTTAAATGCCTTGCTTAAGTCACATAGCTAACAAATGACTAAACTAGGGTCAGACACAATCCAAGTCCAGAGCCCGTTTTTTTAGAAGCTATGAGATTTCCTGTCAAAAGGCTTTGAAGGGCCAAGTGCTAAAGCAATGGTGCAGTGTTGTTTTGAGAGCATGCAGGGCAGCTTTAAGAACTGCTGGGGCCTGGTTGCCCAGCAGCAAGAAGGCAGGTACAAGAGAACATCCAAAGTCAGACTGAGTACAAATCTGACTGACATACATGCTCCAGGTGTGCAAATCCAAACAACACCATTTTCCCTTTACTGTCTCTTTAACAGTGTCACTTCTGAGAGAGCGCTGGTATGGTGGTATTTTCTGGTTTTCGTGTTTTATTAATCCCCAGGACTTGAGGGCTTTTTATCCTTTCAAACACATAGCATTCACTTTTGTCTCCAGAGGCTGGGGTTCTAGTGCTGACCAGATGAAAGCCTTCCTTTAATAAAGTATCAATCAGCAAGCCGAAGACATTTGTTCCATTCGCCAATTTTCGGTTATCAGGCTTTATGGAAATGTACCTGAGACATACAAAGAAGTGTTTAATTAGAAAGCATTCCTTTAATAGCTAATAAAACTACACATGTAAACTTATTTACAACCTCAGATAAAGGCATCATACCTTTCTCCTTTTTGTTTTTTTGAGACAGTGTTTGTGTAGACCATGATGGCCTTGAATGAAAAAAAAATAAAATAAAAAGGAAAGGAACGTGACTGGTCCTAGGTACAATGGAGGAGAAAATTTATTATAGATAAAAGGGAGAGAGCATAGCCAGAGGCAGGGACATCTGGGAGAGTCCCTGGACATGACCCTGAGCCATGTGAAGAAGTGGGGAGGAGAAAGGAGAGTAGAGAGAGAGGAACCAGGTGCAGTAGCCAAGAGGCCCAAAGAGAGTAGACAAAAAGGACTAGGTGACCAAAATGGTTGGATTGTATAGGGTAGGGCAGCCCAAACCCTGGGCTGGAGAAGTTTAGTGTAGATGTAATTCTAAATGGTCTTATTAAATAAGAAACACAGAGCCAAATGCAGAGTTAAAAGATCAGAGAGCAGTAGCCAAGAGCTAAGACCACCTTCTTACCACCCACTGCCAGCTGTCCTTCCCATGAGGAAAAGACCTACTTCCTGTGTATCTGTATTTTTATTGACTTTCTGTTCTGCCCTCTCATTGGCTCTAAACCCAACCATGACTTTCTCGTCACTGCCTGTCTATACATACAGACCTCCAAGTCTCTATGGTTGGTACTTGGATTAAAGGTGTGTGTCACCATGCTGACTGTGTCCTTGAACACACAGGCTCTGCCTGCCATGTGATCGGATTAAGGGCGTGTGCTACCACTGCCAGACTTCTGCTTAATGGCTATGACCTCTGAGATCCCCAGGCAACTTTATTTATTAACATACAAATAAAATTACATTTCAGCACAAATAGCCGGGCGGTGGTGGCGCACGCCTTTAATCCCAGCACTCGGGAGGCAGAGCCAGGCGGATCTCTGTGATTTCAAGGCCAGCCTGGTCTCCAAAGCGAGTTCCAGGAAAGGCGCAAAGCTACACAGAGAAACCCTGTCTCGGAAAAAAAAAAAAAAATTACATTTCAGCACAAATAAAATATCATCATAGTTTAGGGTAGGGGGCAGGGTATGCCAGCCTGTTACAGGTAGGGACTGAGGGGTACGGGGAAAACCTGGCAGCCAGCATCCACTTTGATATGGTACCTAAACCATTTTTCCCAGGTTTGAAACTCAACAGGTCTCAAACTCATGATCCTCTGCCTCAAACAAAATGCTAGGGTTACAGGTGTGCACCGAGGCTTGGCAACCTAACTTTTTTCTTTTTTGAGACTGAGTCTTACTTTTTATCCCTGGCCGCTCTGGAACTCATTATGTAGAATGGCCTCCATACCTGGCTCATAACATTTTTTTTAACATTTCCTTTTGAGATTTCATTTTCAAATTTGAATCAGTAACTCTAAATATTAAAATAGAAACTGTAATTCCAAGTCATCACAACTATATTTAAGAATATAATCAAAATTGTTGACTTATCATTTAAGTTCTTTTCTGGAGCAATTTTGTCAATTAAACTGGTCTAATTTTATATAGATATCTTATATCTATATATATCTATAATTTATATTATAATCTATATATAAAATATCTATAATTATATAGATATAATGTAACTTCTAGGTTTTTTTTCAATTTTATTGTACCCAATTTGACTAACTGATCATTAAATTCTTTTTATTAACACTGTACTTTCACAATTTTCCACTAAATCTAATTACTAGTACTATCATAACTTGTGGTTTATTCCTGTCAAACCAGCCTTTTCAGGTTAAGATTTGAAGTTATGTCAAGACTCCATTTTATTGCTACCTTTTCATCCATAATTGCCTGTTATTGGAAAGTAAAATATGGTAGTCAAAAACCGTATTGAAAATGAAAAAAACCCACAAGGTAGTGGTGGCACACACTTTTAATCCCAGGAGGCAGAGGCAGGTGGATCTCCGTGAGTTTGAGGCCAGCCTGGTCTACAGGGTGAGTTCCAGGACAGCCAGGGCTACACAGAGAAACCGTGTTTCGAAAAAGAAAAGAAAGCAGACCCCTTTACTCACTAAGTACCCCACAAAGCCGCACACGGCTCCGGAAAAGAACACCAGGTTGGCTCTAATAACGGCAGTACAGCACAGAGAATATCTGCCGTCAAGGACATTTTTGTGTCTTCCCACTGTTTATTCTAAAGATGTGAAAAAAGGCTTAGGTTAGTTCCAGACAAACAGCAAAGCTGTGCATAGTTTCATGAGTGTAAAACAATGTTTGAGCACATCCCTAGTCATTATTAATTGAGGTCATGCTGAAATGGTCACTGGAGGTCCATTCAGTATTACTGGCAAAGAAAACAGTTAACAGCTAAAAGTTATCAATCTACAAAGCACATTTCAAAAAAAAGTTTATTGTGTTTGATACAAATTTTTAATAGTAGTAAAACATATCTATTCTCAAGTACATATCTAAATTATATAGTCTAGAAAGTTGTCAGAAGTTATAGAATATCATAAAAGTATTAAGATACAAATAGAAAGTAATAGGTGGTAAAACAAACAAAAAAACAATGTAGAATGTACTTCAGTAAACCACTGAGCCAAAACTACTACAACTCATTCCTGTCACCAAACTGAACAAGAATTTCAAGATCAAAGAAAAGGATGAACTAACAGAAAACCTGCACTTCTTTCTAGTGTTGCAGGTAGAACCCAGGGCCTCCCAGTGCACGACAGGCAAGGACTCTTCCACTGAGTTCCGTCACCACACCTTATTTTTAAAAAGTTAAGGTCAACTATAATCTTCCATCTAGTTTCATCTAAAAAGGAGATCAGAAAATGGCTACAAAAGAAACTCTAGAATCCTGAGACCATAACTTAAACTAAGTAGTGTGTTGTCATGTGAATAGGCATCTAAAGATGAATGCCAGGGACCTGAGAGAAATAACCAAGTACTAAGAACATACTGAAGAAGCTTAGAAGCCAGTCAGACTTCTTTTACCATTTCCACCATCCAAAAACATCTGAATAAACAGATTTAGACCAAAGACTAGCAAAAATTACAAATAATTGCCAATTAGTTACTCAAAAGTAGTTATGACCAGAATTTTCAACCAGTCACCATTTATTTTCATGTCACTTTAAATAGATTATGTATCTCCATTCTGAAACTGGCACTATGTAAATTAAACACAAGAGGAATTCCAAACTTAAAACAACCAAAAATACCACCACATAGTAGTTGGGTGAGGTAACATATGCTTATAATCTTAGCACTGAGGAGGCAGCAGATACAAGTGAATCAGAATCTCCAGGCTAGCCAGGGCCACATGTGACCCTATAAAAAAATAGTAACTAAAGAAATAGCTCTGGTCTTAGAATTATCTGTTATGAAAACTAAATATACCTTTCTCAGACTAAGAGTTACAAATAACATTCTGTGCTGTTTCTGAACTGTAACAAAAAGGGGGGAGTCACTTGATACAGTATATATACAAGCATGATCCAATTTCTGTTTCTAACCTTGTTTTCTAGGATTATAATTAGTTTGTCCAAATTCTAACAGAACATTGAGTATTTCCAAGACATCTTTTCACCTATCATGTGTCTTCCTAAAATTGAGGATGCCATTTTTCCTTAGGTTTCTAACTTTCTGAAAAGGGATGCTGAAAAGGTCGTTATCATTTATTCAGTTGAAATTTAAAACAATAAAAAATCCCATTATTCCTCTTATTTAACTACTTCCTTCCCCGATGAAAATGAAGAACAGAGTTTAAAGCAGTTTGGTAACAACAGGACCTTAGATGTTCTTCATGGCTTATTTGAGTAGTACCCATTTGTAAAATGACATTTCAGCTTCTTTGGAAGACCAGGAAATAAGTATTTATATAGATTCATTGTCATACTTGACTATACTGCTCATTGTCCTCCAGTTGGTAGCTGAAACTTAGGGGTGTGATGTGGGAGAAATAATACTGGACTCCTTCCTGATAGGTACTGTAAAGGCTAAGAACTCTAAAGTATGTCTATCTCTTCAAAGTGATTGCTTTTAAATGCTGTAAGTAAAGAAGACAAAAAAGTTTTCTTTTTCCTCCTAAAAGTTAAAACCTGCTTTCACAGTTGGTAATAACTATCTGCAGCATTAAGACATTTCTAACAGGGGATGAGGTGGTGTGTCCCTGACTGCACAGCAGAAATCAGCCTTAGGATCCAGCAGAGCAGGAGAGGCAGGTGCAGTGGGGTGTTCACCTTCAATCCCAGCACTCAGAGGTAGAGGCAGTGAGAGTTTCAGGCCAGCCAGAGCTAAATAATGAGACCCTGTCTCAAAAAATAAATAAAAATAAAAAGGCAGCCATCCTTTTTCAAGTTCTAGAACAATGCATAGTATGTGAGGGAATCGGGCCATACCACTGAACTTCTCCTATGTGTAAGCCAGAAAGAAGCTGACTCATTCTAAGCCACTCATTAGCAATGGAATTGAATCTACAGAACCAGTTCCTCTTAGAACTCCACAGAAGTTTCTACTTTCCCTGGGCAGTCTTGGTTTATTACCTGTCCCACAATACCTTCTCAGTCTGAAAGTGCCCAAGTTTAGAAAATAACTACTTGTTCTAGCTGAACAAAACATTAGTCTGAATAAACACTTTTTTTTTTTTTTGGCCAAGAAGAGTTTTAGGCATAAAGAACTTTCAGTTTTGAGAGAAAATGTCAGAAAACTGGAATAAAAGAGACACTTCAGCATTCAAAATACCTGACTCCAGCGTGGTTCTCAATAGTGCCATCAGAGCCACAGTGGAAAACCAGGTCATGGTGAGAAGGTCTTTGTGGAGGCAGTGCCAGTAGAGTCACCTGAGGAGGGAAGGGGTTACTGCTCCAGGCCAGCGCTGTAGGCTGCTCTACAAACACTGTAATCCTCCTCATGAGCAGCTCGATGGTTTTGCTGCAAGAGCCAAACACTCGGAAGAAGGCTTGAGTATTTCGGTTTAAGAAATGCACCTCCATGACAGCAGGTCTTGACTGTAGCAGGTGCTGGCTTAAGAGATCAGCAAGAGAATCAAGTTCATAGAAAAGAGCCTCTCTCTGAAGCCTAAGATAGTCTGAAAAGTCAGAGGGTAACAGAAGCTCACGATTTCTCAGAAAATCTAAAATGAAACTAAACAGAGCACCATCTCTATCCACAAAAATCTGGCCATCAACTGTCTTGAAGTCTTGGTCTCTGCCATCTAACATGCCTGCCAACCGAGAGGTAGGGAATTGCTTTAGGGTAGAAAGCCTTGTTGTGAATATCTTCCCTCCCACATTCAAAGTGACCAGGTCCTGGCTACTCATTCTTCCTAGCTTCTCATTAGATGCTACAAACCATTAACACAGACTTATAGAAACCCTCTAACTCAACCTGCTACATTATATATGACTAAGAAACAGGAAAGTGGAGACAGAAAACTAGACCTAAATTCCAAGGTAACTATTGTCAAGACAAATAGTGTATCCATAGCTGTGTTTGCAAATGTGAGTTGCTTGGAGACATGCAGTGTAGAAAATGGAAACAGCAAGTGAAACAGAATGTCAATATATCTCATGATTTCAGATAGATCCCTTTCCTATAATCCACTAAAAACAAAACAAGGAAGTAAAAAGCACTCGTGTGGTTCAAGGGTAGAGGACTTGCCTAATGTGTGTGAGGCCTTGAGTTCTGCCTCCAGCACTGAAGAAATCATTCTCCATGAAACCCTAACATAAATCTGTATTTCAAACAAAATCATGAGGACAGAAAACCATTGTCTCCACAGACATTTACCAAGCCCTTGTGGCTGAGGAAAGACTTCTAGAAAACATGATGTGGTTTGAGAAACCCCTTAGTGATTTAATGGCTCAATCTTTGAATTATGCTAAAATAAACAGCTCTGCTGGGCGGTGGTGGCACACACCTTTAATCCCAGCACTGCCTTTAATCAGGAGGCAGAGGCAGGCGGATCTTTGTGAGTTCGAGGCCAGTCTGGGCTACAGAGTGAGTTCCAGGACAGGCTCCAAAGCTACACAGAGAAACCCTGTCTCGAAAAACCAAAAAACAAACAAACAAAAAAAGAATAAACAGCCCTTACCTCACCTTCAACTTGACCATTTCATGGCTGGTAGCTTAGGAAGACACTCTGTGCTTTATTTTTTTAATATTTTATGTGCATTACCGTTTTCCTGCATGTTTGTCTATGTGAGTGTGTCGGATCCCCTGGAACTGGAGTTACAGGAAGGCATGAGCTGTCATGTGGGTGCTAGGAATTGAACCCAGGTCCTCTGGAAGAACAGCCAGTGCTCTTAACCAGTAAGCCATCTCTCCTGTCCCTTTTCCCCCTAAGACATAGTTTGTGTATAGCCCTGGCTGTCCTGGAACTCACTCTGTAGACCAGACTGGCCTTGAACTCAGAGATCCACCCATCTCTACCTCCTGATTAAAGGCATGCGCCACCACTGCCCACATTTTCTGTGCTTTCAAGTTGAGTTGCCAGCTTTTCTCATCCCTGATCACTTTGGTTCTTCTCAATCAAATCAAAAGATGAGGTAAAGACACAGCTCTCTAAAACCCAATTTCACTTAATGGGCTTTCAAGGGCCCGTTTATCCGAGACAGAAACAAGGTGACTAAAAAGTTTTAAGGTTTCTTTGTTTTCATTTGAATTCTAAGCAAAGTGAGAAAATTACATACTTCTGTCCTGTGGCCATCTTTCTCTCTATAAGCAGAGAGGATGAGTCTTCACCTGATGACATTATACTTTATCTGTGCTAACAAACCCTCTCTTCTGTTGTCAGACTAGTTTTACTACCTGTGACTGTGGGCAAGTGACCTGGGCTGGTTGTACAGTTGCTGTGGTACTGGAGAGCACAACCACATTAGGTACCAGTTAGAAAGTGGCTTTCCCAACTCCTGCCCTTTCCATCTACACAGCTACCTACAGCTGTATCGCCTTTAGTGAAAAGTGCACAGCTCACTGTAATGCCAATACTTGGGAGGCCTGAGGTAGGACTACCAGGTCAGGCTTGTCAACAAGAATAGGAGGGAGAGATTGAGTTTCCAAAATTAAACTTACACTGTCCTGAGAAACATTGCTTGAAAACAAACTTGGGAATCCAATGCATTAACAGTCTTTACTTTTTTAGAATGTTCAGTTAGAAAAGTTACTTTGCTCCTTTCACAGTACGCTTGATGACTCAGCGCTACATTACCTGAGCCAATGAGGTGGTAGCTCATGTGTGCTCTATGTCATGGACGAGATGGTAAATCATGTATGCTCTCAACTCCCTCTCTTGCTTGCTTACTTCTTGCCCAGACTGGTCTCAAAGTCCCAGGCTCAAGAGATACACTCATGTGCCGTGTATCACAGGACAAATTCAGCAAATACTAGAGGGAGAACAATTATTTTAAAACTGTCTTTACAAAGGAAGGGAAGGGTTGGGACTACTAAACTTCACTTTTATCTTTATGTTCATATTTGGATAACATATAAAAGACATTATTAAATGAATACTTTTAAAAGAAACAGTGGACTGGAATCTTGACCAAATCTGAATTATTCCTGTGTTCTCTAACAATCCCATCAAGAAACAGAACTGTGTAGTTGAAAGATTTTATAGTAGTTTATATTTGCACACAAATTCTGCAACAGTGTTCAGTGCCACCAAACTAAAATTTTTGACTCTTTCACTAAAAATGAAAAACCCATCTGTCATCTGTTCCCAGAAAAAAACAGAATGTTCTACAAAATCAGCCGATTTAGTCAGGTAAGAACTGACACTTGAAAGATAGTCTTTCCAAGCTGCCAACTCATCCAATGGAGACCACTCCAGGAGCATGGTAGGACCAAAGAATATGAGGAGACCCAGCAGAACTACGACCATCAACAACTGGTAGGAGCGCCAGGGAATCTTGCTAATGAACACGCCTGTGTCTTGAGGCAAAGAAAGCTTATCCACATCGACTAGTTTAATGTCCTCCCACTGACTGGTATCAAAGTTCTTCATTAAAGGGCTTGTGGGCAAATTAGAGGGTGGCAAAGGAGTTTCCTTGATTACTTTGATTTTCTCCCTGAACTCCTGCATCTGTTGCAGAAATATAATAGGTTCTGACACGTCTTTGAAAGCCTCGGCAATGTTAAAGGCCATCCGTTGCTCCTGTAAAATAGTGTTGAGCTTGTTGATCTCTGGGTCATAGGCTTGCATAACTGAAAGCTTCATAGTCTCAAAGTCAGACAGGATTTCATTCTTCTTTTGATCTAATGTGTGCTGTAACTTCTCAAAAAACTCCTTTACTTTATCTGAATCTTTAGTGAGCAACTGTAGGGATTTCCTTTTGTTTGTTTCCAAAGTGTCCAAGCGGGAAAGAGCATCTCCCCGGCGCCAAGTCTCAAAACTCTGAAAGAGGGACTCAAAGGCATCCCTTTCCTGAGCATAGGCATCTTCAATAGAAGAGAAGACATGCTTAGTGTGATCGCCACATGTAGCACAGATCCCACAAATCAGCTGCATATCAGTTACACAGAAAATGTTGAGAGGCTGTCCCAAGTGTCCTTTGCACACTGGCATTTTGGGAGAAATCTTGATTTTGTTGTATTTCTCCACAATACCCTTTAGGGAGTAATTAACTTGCAGACTATTGACTCCAGTTGCTGAAGTTTCCTTACGGCAGGTAGGACATTTGAAAGGAGATGGTCTCCACAATGAATTCCGCACATTCCCCTCTAAGAGCCCTTCTAAACATTTTTTGCAGAAGTTGTGTGAGCAGGGCAAAACTCGGGGATCATCAAACAAACTGCAACAAATTGGGCACGTGAGATCTTCTTCAAGCAGCTCCATCACATCCTGCCACAGAGAAAGAAACATTTAGCTCTGGTAAGCCCCTCTGTACTAATTACAAAACACTATCTTCCCAACAGAATGACTGCCTGCTGACATAATCAAAGGATATAAGGAAGAAATTTGGAGAAGGCATGCAAACTAAAGCATATTTAACTCACTGGGTCAAGAGCACACTCATGTATACAAGGCCTTTGTGAGGGCTTCCCATCAACAGCCTTTGCTAAGACAGGGTTAGGACTGGGACAACGGCAAACTGAGCCAACAGGACCCAACATTGTTTTAAACAGAGCTGACTACTAGATGTCAGAAACAAAGAATCTCAGTGTCTGTAAGAGAATGGGCTCTTTACTTTGGGCCCACAAATATGAAATGGTATGCTAAAGACAGAAGCATACAATAGAAATCCAAGCAAGTACTCTATTCCAACTTTTACTGGAAATTGGCATATTTTCCTATTTCAAAGACATGATTACAATTATTTAAGAGAATCACAGTTTAAAAAGCACAAAAGAGTTGTAATTCAACCTTGTCTAGGGAATTAAATGAGGTGGATTTTTGCTGTTGTTTGGGGGGATTTTTTTTTTAATTGGTTGTTTTTAAATAATCAAACTTATCCTATATCCTTTACACTATAACAGTAATTCTCTCTATGAGGGGCAGAAACCTAAGTTTCCCTCTTTCAGAGAACTGGGGAAGCCAAAAGCATTTTTATAATGATGTGCCATGCTGACTGGTATTTGCACTAACTTTGTCAAAGCAACAGGAGGTGTATTCTGCTGGAACTTGAACAGGAATCAAGGAAGACTGTAAGAAGCACTGCACTGTGCCACTACTCAGTGTTCTTCAGGAGCACACAAGAGGGGAGAGGAAGGAGCACTATCAGTGAGAAGTGCTCTTAGCCAGGCTGATTAAAGCACACACCTAGAATCCCAATACTCAGAAAAAGAGAGAAGGAAGGATATGAGCTCAAGGCAACAGGCTACAAAGCAAGTTCTACCCCAGTCTGGACTATGAGACCCGATTTCAAAACCAAATAAATAATAAAATCTTGATGAAGCAGCAAAAATTACTCATTTTGCCAAATCCCAATTCTTGTCTGCATGTCTTTTAAATATGTGTGACAAAGTAAGAACTATGCACAAAAGCATTTGTGTGCTTGCAGATGCTGTCTAAAGGAGCAGCAGGCTCACGTGACAAGCTACAAGAGAAGCCAGCACCATGCAGATTTAGGTAGCTGACAGACATCTTGAAAATGAGTAAAAATGAGCTTGCTACTTCCAGAACACAGTACTTCTAGACAATGAAAATGCTGGATTTTTATGTTAAAATTTGTATTTTTGCAAAATGTGTCTACTACTTGTAAGCATCCTATTTAAGACTCTGATAAATGGTGAACTTAATAAATGTGAAGGTTAGTATAAAATGAAATGTCAATATTTGGAGGTTTACTAAACAATGATCTAATGCTTTTTCAAGTCAATATTATATATCATTCACAGAGAAAAGACTCTTCAAATATTAGAAAGGGCTGGCGTGTAGCTCAGTGGTAGAACACTTGCCAAGGCCCTGAATTCAATTCCTAACACTGCAAAAATAAAACATAAAAAAGTAACAGAGACAAATAGGCTTACAATAAATATGATCGCATATACTACAGTATGACAAAAAATGCTACTATTTGTTGAGGTTTGGCACAGTATTAAAGAAGAGCAACAAGTTATCTCAAAAAGCTACTAAAATACTACTCCCTTTACCAACCACAAACCTGTGTAATGCCAATTTTTTTCTTGTGTATGTCAATCAAAATAATTAGAACAGTTGTTTTCAATAAAATAGGCATCCAGGGCTGGGATATGGCTCAAAAGTTGGTAGAAAGCACACTTGGCATGTACAAGGCCCTAGGCTAGTTAGTCATTAGTGCAGACAAAATTGCATCATAGTTCAGTATTAAATAACAAGAAACAAAGGTAGTCAGGATGGAAAGGAGAGAGAGGGGATCTGAGGCAAAGAAAAACTTTGGGAAAAATGGAGAGAATACAATAACAGGGAACCAAAAATTTTAAGGCAATCAAATATGATGAAAAGGAAAATGTGAAATTTACAATAGCCATTCAAAGTCATAATCATTCCGTAAAGACTACTCATGCATTCATTCTATCCTAAAACTTTTTTTTTTTTCCTGTACTGGTAAAAGCTAAATCCACCATAGAGAGCTGCATGGCTCAGAGACGCCTCTGTGTGCTGCAGCGGCAGGAATCCGCTATGCTGTGTCCAAGCTCAAGTGCTGAGAAGCCGTCATACTGTATGTAGCTCAGGCTTGCCTGAGACATAACTAGGAAGCTGTTTTTAGCTCCGTTTTAGAATCTCTTAAGTACATTATTTGAAAATAAGATTAGCTAGTAAATGGAGAAGTTTTCTGTTTATATTTTGTTTTTTATTTATATTTTGTATTTTTTTAAAACAGGGTCTCTATATGCAGTCCCAGCTGGAACTTTTCTATGTAGACTAGACTGGCCTTGAATTCACAGATAGCCCTCTGCCTCTGCCTCCCCAGTGCTGGGATTAAAGTTAAGTGCCACCAAGCCTGGCCTGTGGCCTTTAGAAAAAAAAGTACACTTGGGCAGGAGAGGTGGTACAGCAGTTAAGAGCACATATGCTCTTGCAGAGGACCCACATCAGCTCACAACTTCCAGGAACTCCAGCTCCAGGGGGAACTGAAGCTTCTGGTGTCTGTGGGCACCTGTACTTATGCACACACAGAAACATAATTAAATATAAAAATAATCTTTAAAAAGGCAAGCTTTTCTTGTAAGCATTTGTCAAGGTAAGTAAACCTGGTGGCTCTTAGATGACTCGGGGGGTATAAAGAATTTTAGTATTTACTGTCTTAGTTTTATTATTTATTTTATGTTTATGTTTTTTGTTTGTTTTGGGGGGGAGAGAATCTCTCACTGGCCTAGAGCTTGCCAAGTAGGCTAGACTAGCTGGCCAGCCACCTGTCTCTCTGCCTCCCTAGTCCTAGGATTACAATTACACATCACCACACATGGCTTTTTGTTTTTGTTTATCGGTGGGTTCTGGGAACTGAACTCAGTACTTTATTCTGTAAGCCAAGCACTTTACTGACTTAGTTATTTTCCAAGATCCTCTCCTGACTGATAAATTTAAACACTATTTTGAAGTTCCTAAATCCCAAACAAAGATGCTCTAAGACAAGATGGAAATCCCCAAGATACAGGAGGCCTAGACTCTGGCTCAATGGCAGAGCACCTGCTTAGCATGCTTGAAGCCCTGAGTCCAATGCCCAGCCCTGACCACCTTTGTTTCTTGTTATTTAATATTGAACTGTGATGCAATTTTGTTACCATTTTTACTTACAAATATACATTTTCCCTATCAGTACCTGTTCTTCAAACCCATGCTAGGCCACCTTAGGGATATACGTTCTAATTGTTTATCTACCATTCTCTTTATTTTTAGAATGGTACCGTTTAAGTAAAGGCCTTATAGAAACGTTTTAATGAAAACCTCTTAATTTCTGACCATTTCCTTAGATAGCTCCCTTAGAGACAATACTGGATCAAGGAATAAGCCCATCTTTAGATTTTTATTTATTTATGTGTGTGTGCGTGTGTGCGTGTGTGTGTGTGTGTGTGTGTGTGTGTGTGTGTGTGTGTGTGTGTGTGTGCGCGTGTGCGTGTGTGTCCTCGCATGCGTGTTGCATATGTGCTGAGGTAAGAGGGCAATTAATGGGAGCTGATTCTCTTCTTCTACCATGTGAGTTCTGTAGATGGAACTCAGATCCTGTCAACAGTGTTAGCAAGCACCTTTACCTGATGAGCCATTTTAAAACTCTAAAGATTGCCAAGTGTTTTTCTAAAAAGGGTGTGTATAGCTGGGCATGATGGCACATGTCGTTTATCCCAGCACTTGGATTACTCACCTGGATTTAAAATGTAAAACAATTTAAGTCAGTTACCATTAGTATGCATCTATGTATTCTATCTTGAGAACAAAAGAGTAGGGTTCTTTTGTTCTCAAGGAATAAAATGTAAGTTGTAGGCTCAAAACCAGTGTAGCTAAGCCCCTAACTTCATAAGTAAAAACATGGAGCCCAACTCACTTTGCCCTTCCACCACCAAAGCACAGACCTTGAGTTTTCAAAGCTCTAGGATGCAGCACTATCCAGAAAGTGAGTCAAAACTTCAGCATCTAACCTGCCGGAGCGGCACACACCTCTAATCCAATCCCAGCACTCAGAGTTGTAGAGGCAGGCAAATCTGTTCAAAGCCAGCCTGGTCTATGTAGGGAGATGTCACAAAAAGGAAAAAAAAACAAACAAACAACAATTTGGTGTTCTAGGAGCCGAGAGTATAGCAAATGGCAGAGTGTGTACTTAGCATGTTGATGACATTGGTTTTGATCCCCAGGACCAAAGTGTGGGGGAATAATTCAGTATCTCTATTCATAAAACAAAGTTTATCTCATAAACTTCCAAAAATCTCTTCTAAAACTCTATAGTTTTAACAAATAACTGTTTTATCTTTCATAAAATGAGGATCTTTATAGTACTATCTTCATATTACTGGAAAATAAATACAAAGGAAATTTCATAAATTTACATAAATCATAACATAAACTTTAACTACACCATTATACAAATACTATGGAAATTATAAATACACATTTAAGGTTTTATATTAGAGGATGAGAACAGAGCTCAACAGAGTTTAATTCTCCTGAACAATGATTCCAAAGCAAATCCATTGGGTACCAGATACACAGAAGCACAATCTCAGGAGGGCTAGATATCCTAGCATACATGCACAGCAGGTCTGAGGCTGAGGGAAGCACCTGTATAGCATGAGTACTTCCCCAGCACCACCAGCAAACAATTACACATGTGAAAAGAACAGTCTGGTGTTAGAAAAAGATGTATCAGTAATTAAGTCAACTGGTACCAAAATAGATAAACAAAAAAATACATAAATTAAAGAAGTACTAGGGGAGGAAGGAAACCTGAAGAAGTGTATCTTCTGGGGCTGGACATGTCTGTCACTATGATAAAACAATGACCAAAAGCAACTGACACTTCCAGGTCACAACCCATCACTGAGGTAAGTCAAGGCAGGAACTCAAGGCAAAACTGCTTGTTATTCCGCACAATGCCTTCTACCTGGGAACTCACTCCCATCCAATAAAGTACAGCAGACACCATCAATCCACATGGATTGCTGGCTGTGCTCTGGCCCATAACATGCTCATGCTTAGCTAGCTTTCTTATGGTGCCCAAGTTAATCTGCCTAGGGATAGAGATGCCCACAATGTGCTGGGCCCTCCTATGTGAATTAAGACAGTCCCTCACAGACATATCCAGAGACCAACCTGAAAAACAATTAGACTGAGACTGTTTTCAGGTGATCCTAGGCTGTGTCAAACTGATACTCAGTATTAAGTAGGCCTGGGTGTAGTTGAGAGGGAGAGTACTTGGCTAGCATACCCCAAAGTGTCCTGGGTTTTTTCTTCAGCACCAAATAATAATTTTAAAGCAAAAACTGTATGAAAGAGGCATAATCGGCCAATAGCCCATTGAGTTCTAGCAGAAAGAATATCTATAAGATGGCATTCTGTTTTTAAAGTGCCCAACATTCAAAGGTCTAAAGAGCTACAGGGAACTCACCCCTTTCCACTGCCCCCGTAGCTGGACAACTCAAACCCCTCAAAAGAAATGCTACCGAGCCCCTTTTCTTCCTTTACAGCATACTTAAATTATGTAGAGTAATTGCCAAAGAAAGGAATGGCAAGCATGGATTTTGTCTGAGTTTTGAAATATGAAAGAACAAAGACCACCTATTACTGAAGGATGGTGGATGTGGACATATACTCCGTAGTTCGATCTGGAATGGTCCCAGGGCTAATGAAATTTGGCGTGCTTTTCATAAATACCAGAACATAAAGGAAAATACTAACGTTTACCTCTGTCCCCGGCAAGCAGGTGCTTTCGGTGAGGTTAATATTTCTCTGGGAAAACCTGATTTTTGTTTTTCCCCCCACGTTTTGACTGTAAAACTAGAGAATGCTGTAGAGAGAGGAGAAAGGGTGTTACATACACAGATCTGCATTCTTAACCCTCCATTTAAATTTTTTTTTTCAATCTCCCCTCCCAACAACAACCAAAATCCCCTCCCAATAACAACCAAAAAAAGCCAGCTCGCTGTGCCTCGGCTTCCTGGCCACGGCGCCTCCTCAGCGGCGCGCGGACCTTCTCCGTGGCGACACCGGCCGCGCTGTCGCCTCTGCCCACGCAGGTGTCCGCGGCCGCCGCGAGCTCAGCAACACCCCACCCCACCACCGAGGACGCCGCTCACCTCCGCGGATTGCAGCCGGCAGCTCCACAGCAAAATGGACACGGCGGCCACGCCCTCTGCCACCCGCCGCCCCGCGCCTGCGCAGCGCCCTGGTCCTCCCCACCACAGGGAAGTGCTCCAGTGACGCCGACAGGAGATGGGTTTGGATTGCTGTACTTTTTGTTGCTGTTCCTTGCATTTTGGGGAGCAACAAAAACAAAGTCTAACCCTTCACACCTCTTTGTCTGTATCTCAGGACCCGCGGGCCCGGCGATCGCTAGGTTGAACACACTGGCCCAACTGTAGGAAAAAGCACTACTGTGATTCCCCCCTCAGAGGCAAGAAAGAGCTTTTAAGTGTTTTTTAAATATCCATCGGTAGCAACTGCCCTGATTATCCTGATGTTCACCTCCTATGCGGGGACTGTGTACAAAGGATGAAGAAAACGACTCCTATCCAAAAAATTCGAGGAAGTGAGGTTGCAGGCTGAGTGTGCTGGAGGAGCTTGTCCAATCCTGCTTGGGAAGGTCTAGGCTTTTAGGAGAGCAAATTTGGAAAAAGTGCGTTTCTGAGTCAATAAAAAGCCCCTCTTCACCTCATCCCAACCCCGGTGCACGTATCCCCGGCTGCACCACTTCGCAAAAAAATCACTAAAAATTTCTAGCTCGTGAGGACTATCCTCACGAGAGCAGTGGAATCAAGAACCTTATCCTTTAAACGAACAGATTTTCTACAAGGTGGAAAAACAAGAGGCAGCTCGAAGGATATCAAATTCCATGCACACGTTTTTTCTACAGCACCAAAAATGTCAGTACAAATGAAAACTTCATCCCAGACCAGCACAAAACTGGTGTCACTATAAATATGCCGGAAGCTGGGCATAGTGGCACATACCTAAGATCCCAGGGCTTGGAGGCAAAGGTAGGCGCATCTCTGTGAGTTCGAGGCCATCGTGGTCTACATAGTGAGTTCCACAACAGCCAGAGCTACATAAGTGAAACCCTGTCTCAAAACACAAAACAAAAACGCTGAATGAAGCTGATGGTGTGACTCAGTGATAGAATGCTTCCTGCGATTCAGGCTCTGAATTGATCTCCTGAACGACATCAAGAACACTGAATGATATAATGAGGTAAAAATATAAAAACTGTGTATCATATAATATACAACCAATAAAAAGACTATAACGGGCCAGTGAGGTGACTCAGCAGGTTGAGTGCTTGCCACCAAGGATGCCGACCCGAGTTCATTCCCTGGAAACCACAGTAGATGGAGAACCAATTACTGAAAGTCTTCTTCTGACCTCCACACTGGTGCCATGGCACTTGCATGACCACACTCATGCACACATGATTACTAATAATCATAATATTTAAATAAAAAAACAAAGCATAGCTCCACGAATCAGAATAAGATAGACAGTGACTATCCAAGTTAAAAGCTATCCTCGCCTTTAATCCCAGCACTGAGGGAGGCAGAGGCAGGCGGATCTTTGTGAGTTCAAGGCCAGCCTGGTCTACAGAGCGAGATCCAGGACAGGCACCAAAGCTACACAGAGAAACCCTGTCTCAAAAAAACAAAAAAAAAAAAAAAAAAAAAAAGAGACGGCTCAGCGGTTAAGGGCACAGGCTGCCCTTCCAGAGGACCTGAGTTCAATTCCCAGCACCCACATGGCAGCTCACAACTTTCTGTGACTCAGGTTCCAGTGGATCCGACTCTCCCACAAAGACATGCAGATCAAACACCAATGCACAAAAAAAAACAACAACAACAAAAGCTTTAATTCCAGTTTTGAAAAGAAATGTAATTGGTAGGATGTGGGTAGGAAAAAACATATATAGGAATATATGCCAAATTCTTAAAAAAGTATACTAAGTGTGAGATATTTTAATATTCATTCAGTATTTTGAGAGAGGGTTTCTCTCTGTAGACCTGGCTGTCCTGGAACTTGCTTTGCAGACCAGGCTGGTCTTGAATTCACAGAGATCCACCTGCTTCTGCCTCCCGAGTGCTGGGATTAAAAGCATTCATTCAGTATTTTAAAAATTATTTTGTTGGGTGTTAGAGGCAAAGGAAGAGGGGCTCAAAAGTTGAAGGTTGTCCTTGGCTGTGCAATGAGTAAGACCCACATGAGCTACATGAGATTTTCAAAATACATATGTCTAGTTTAGAATTTTTTTCTTTTTCTTTCTTTTTGTTTGAGACAGGGTTTCTCTGTGTAGACCCGGCTGTCCTGGAACTCTGTAGTTCTGATCTGTAGACCAGGCTGGCCTTGAACTCACAGACATCTGCCTGTCTCTGACTTCGGAATGCTAGGATTAAAGGAGTGTACCACCACTGTCTGGCCTGTCTTTTATGTTTAAGTCTGGGCATGGTGGCAGAGGCAGGCATATTTCTGAGTTTGAAGCCTGTCAGGTCTATAGTCTCAAACAAATAAGCAAATTTTTGCATTCAAAATCTAATACTTTTGCAATGTAAAGAAAAAAAAAGAAAGCAAAGTAAATTTGTAAAAGAAAAAAAGGAGTGCCGGGCGGTGGTGGCACACTCCCTGAATCCCAGCACTTGGGAGGCAGAGCCAGGTGGATCTCTGAGTTTGAGGCCAGCCTGGTCTACAGAGCGAAATTCAGGACAGGCACCAAAACTGCACAGAGAAACCCTGTCTTGAAAAAAAAAAAAAAAAGAGAAACAGAACAAATATATATATTAAAACTTTGCTAAATGGTTGACAAAACAAAGGCCAAGTTTTCAAAAATAGATAACACAAAGTCTATAAAAATATAAATCGCCAATAATCAAGAGGAAAGCAGTTCTTTATCACTGATAATCAAATGCAAAACAAAGCATTGATACGGCCTTTTAAAATTCACTAATACGGCAGAGATTTAAAAGTCTAATGACTGATCTGCTGGGTGGGCACAGGAATAACCTTGGAACCAGGGAAAAGAAACAGGAAAAGGCAGCATAAAGTAGGGAAAGAACCAGAATGCCCAGGGCTGAGTTTAGTCTTAAATGTTGATAAGAACAAGCTGAGCTCTATTGTCTGTCCGGTCTGTGACTACAGGTAACAATGACTCAGTGTGAACTGCAAAGGGTGGAGACCACTGCCATAAATGCTTAAGGAGAATGGTATACTTACCTAATGTCTTTGCATCAAAACACCACAAGGCACCCCAGGAAATGTACATACACAGATCTATCCTTTTTTAAATTAAAATTTAAAAATACAAAGAGAAGAAAAGGAGATTGAGTCTTGAAAATGACTTAAATCTTCCAGTTATGTTACTGAGGGCTTTAGAAAAGTCCATGTTTGGAACTGAGACTAGAAGTAGGTATGTGACTGTGAAGCATTAACATGGGGGCTTGGGTAGAGATCACAGCAGGGGAAATGGTTTGGAATGCCTCTTGACCTGCAGTCACACAGGCCAGTCTTTATTCCACTGTGGTAGGCAGAGGAGGATGAAGGACACAGAGACAGGACTCAGAGAGTATGAATGCTCTTCCTAGGAGAATGGCAGGGTAGAGACAGCAGCATATGGTGACATATAGGGGCATCACAGTGTTCAAAGTAAAGGTCAGTTCCAAGGCAGCAGGTGGAAAAGTGTCCCCAAGTGACTACAAGGGTCAGAAATAGAGCCACCCACCTGACCCAGCCCAGAGCACTATTCTTTCCTTAATAATCTCAGTGACGCCGAGGCTTCAATATATATATTCTTCATATAAAACTGATAATGTAAAAAAAAATCTATCCTTATATATGATTATGCATATATGGACTGTGTTTATGTTTTTTATATAATTTACTCAATACTAAATTGGCTTGTAAGTGCCCATGTAAACGAAAGTTGTTAAATTGGCCCAGCTTCCTTTTGACTTATAGTAAAAGTAAAATTTTAAGGGAAAAAAAATCCCAACCTCAATTGTCCAAACAGGCTAAGTAGCTTGGCCATATATCCAGTACGCCAATTAAAGGAATACATAGCAAAGGATAATTGTATTAGTCAGGGTTCTCTAGAGTCACAGAACTTATGGAATGACTCTCTCCCTCTTTCTCCATATATATGTATGGAATTTATTGAAATGGCTTACAAGCTACAGTTCAACTAATCCAATGATGGCTAGCTGTGAATAGAAAGTCCAAGAATCTAGTAGCTGCTCAGTCCTATGAGGCTAGGTGTCTCAGCTGGTCTTCTGTATATTCTGGAAGCCAGACAAAATAGGCTCCAATGTCAGTGAAGGAGTGGATGTACTGGTAAGGTGAGGGCAAGCAGGTATTGTCTTTAATAGACTTTCAGCAGAAGATATGGCCCAGATTAAACGTGTGTAGATGTAATTCTAAACGGTCTTATTAAATAAGAAACACAGAGCCAAATGCAGAGTTAAAAGCCCAGAGATCAAAGAGCAGTAGCCAAGAGCTAAGACCACCTTCTTACCACCCACTGCCAGCTGTCCTTCCCATGAGGAAAAGACCTACTTCCTGTGTATCTGTATTTTTATTGACTTTCTGTTCTGCCCTCTCATTGGCTCTAAACCCAACCATGACTTTCTCGTCACTGCCTGTCTATACAGACCTCCAAGTCTCTATGGTTGGTACTTGGATTAAAGGTATGTGTCACCATGCTGGCTGTGTCCTTGAACACACAGGCTCTGCCTGCCATGTGATCGGATTAAGGGCGTGTGCTACCACTGCCAGACTTCTGCTTAATGGCTATGACCTCTGATCCCCAGGCAACTTTATTTATTAACATACAAATAAAACCACATTTCAGCACAAATAAAATATCACCATAGGTGTGTCTTCCAGCCTCAAGATCTGGATCAAAAGCATGTTGTCTTCCTGTCTCAAGATCGGGATCACAGGTGGGCCCTCCATTTCTGGATTGTAGTTCATTCCAGATAGTCAAGTTGACAATCAAGAATAACTACCACAATAATCACCATGACAACTCCAGTAAAACCAGTAGAGGTGGTTAAGGGTCCTAGATCATTCTTAGGGAATTAATCGTTTTTTTCATTTATATTTGAAAAATCTTTTTAAAAGATGAGATACACAGCTGGAGAGATGGCTCAGCAGTTTAGAGCACTTGTTGCTCTTGCAGAGGACCAGGTTTGATTCCTACATCTACATGGTAGCTCACAACCATCTGTAACTCCAATTCCAGGGAATCTGATGGCCCCTTTTAAACTTCTCAGGCACCAGGCATGAAGTGACTCCTAAAACCCCATTTCCACTTCTAACTATTAAAATAAGAAATAAGGTTTGGTTATGTCTATAAGGACTATAGAGTGCTGACTTCTAACAGGTCTGAGCTCTTGTTTCTATCACTGTTATTTGTATTGTCATGGTAATAAAAGACAATCTTGTTCAAAGAAATTTAAAAGAATACTATATTCTTCTCTAACTTTTACAATGTAGTTTTCCACTTTTCCAAATTAAATCTGGTATAATACCAATATAAAACAACAGATCAAATTAGTATCCACAGATAAGAATTAAGATTATTCAAAAATTAAAGTCTAATTTTTTTTCTAAGAGTTAGAGCTAGCCACTCCACATGCAGTTATAATTGTAAGATCAAGCTGAACAAAAGAAAAACTAAAATGAAAACCTAATAGGTTATTTCCGTACTCCAGGAAAAGCAAGGTAATGTCTTCTTAGCTGCCCTTAGGGTAAAAGAAGAGTGGGGAGAAGGCCAATGCTGAGCTCAAGAGCCTTCTGCCTCTGAGGTGCTGCTGGAAAAGACAGAAATCAGTAAAAAACTAATTCCAAGATAGAAAACATTTGGAAAGTTAAAAAAAATCCCAAATCCTTAACTATGCATCTTAGTTGCGATTCTATTGCTGTGATAAACACCATGACCAAAAGCTACTTGTGGAGGAAAAGGGTGTATTTCAGTTTATACTTCCATATTAGGTTCATCATTAGAGGAAGTCATGGAGTGCACGTGTCTGTAACACAGGGGATACATAGTCAGTCTAGTCTCCTACAGAGTTTATTTTTAGTGGTTGGTATGTAAAGTGAACAGAAATTTTCTTAATAATAATAAAAAAGAAATAAAACAAGACAAAGTTTGCTTTAAAAAAAGTTTATTTTTAGACTGATTGATGGATGGAGACAGAGTTTCACCATGTAGCTCGTTCCAGTCTGGAGCTCATTATGTAGGCCAGGTTGGCCTTGTGTGAGCACTGGGAACAAAACTCTCTCTAGCTTTCAATCTAGTTGTTTTATTTGTTTTCTAATGTGTAAATTGCAGTTCTTTAAATGCGTGTTTCCTTTGTTATCTTCACACCATTAGGCCAGGCAGTATTCTTGATCATTTTAACTTTTGGTATATTACTCTTAATATGTCATATTATATCAAGTAAAAAGAATTAAAAAATAAGATGTGGATCATAAAGACTAATAGATTCTAACAATATGATCCAGAAGTTTCTTCCTTAATGATATTACCAGTTATTCCTCCTTCCTGAAGACCACTTTCCCACCTACCACTCAGTCTTATCTACATCAGACCTAGGAAGC